AGATACGTAGTATGCATCCTAATGCAAAACGAATACATATAGGCGCCGATGAAGCATATACTATCGGTAAAGATACTCGATGTGTGAATAGACTTATAGGTAATTTAAATTTTTCACTGGATCGCCTAAAATTGGATCATATTAGCAGGTAGTCAATGTTTTTTGTTTTTGTTTCAACACCTATTTTTTTTCTCAATTTAATTTAAAGCTCGGAAAACTATTTAGCAACGAAATTATTGCATATTAATTTTTAGAATGAAATTACTGACCCTTCTTTTGTTAAATGTTTTATTCTGTTTCTAAAAATAGTAGTAAAGCAAAAAGATCATTTCTTTTCAAAAGATATATTATAGCTCATTGAGATATGAGATCTGATATAATAAACGATATTATTTTTCATAAATAAATATTATTCAGTACGATACATTCATTATATCGACTAATGGAATTAAATTTTTTTTTCGTTTCCAAGGGTAGCAAAATATGCTCGAAATGAATTGGGATTTGTGGAAGTGCTGGTATGGAATGATATGTTCGGTGATATTGATGCTGCTTTGTTGAAGGAATATCAAATGGGTGAACTGTTTGTTCCCGTTGTTTGGGGTTATGCTGTTGATGTTAATAAATTGAATTACTTCCCAGCGAATATGTTTAAAAGATATTCTCAGGTTGGGTTTTTTTTCTCTGAATTATTGAAGTATGCTAAATGATTAGTTAGGTTGTTGCTAAAATGCACAATCGTATTATTATTGCTAAAATTTAGTTAAATTAAATTAAATTTTAGGTTTTTTCAAAGATGATGTTTGCAAGTGCATTCAAAGGTGCAAATGGACAAAATGAATTATTTTGTTACATTAGACGATATCTTGCCACTCAACAATCATATGTGAGGTTGTATGAGAAAGAAAAAAAGGTATTGTTTGTAGTTTTGTCAGGAGGGCATCAAAGAACTTCGAAAATAAGCTTTAAGTTGAATGAGAGAATATGTTTAGAAAGTAAATCGACTTTTTTCTGCTTACTGACAATGAAATCTGATTGATGATTCGCGTAAATTTTCTTCGATGAGTTACAAACATTTGTGAATGTAATATTTTGAAGAAATTCTATGTTTCGCAGGATTTGCATGGCAAAATTTCGGGTATCATTTTAACCGGTTGGCAACGATACAGTCATTACAGTCCATTATGTGAAATTTTACCGGTTTCAATCCCATCATTGATTGTTGATCTCATTTATTTAAATAATATCGAATTGAGCGAAGATGAAATAGTACATAGAGCAAAATTAAGTTCCCTTTAATAAATTATTCAAATACATATTGAATTCAATTTAAATCATCAATTGCTATTTATATAAATCAAATTGAATTACAAATTTTTATTTATATTTCAAAATAAACATTTTTTTTTAAACTTATTATTACTGTTTCGATCTATGGAAATGATCTATGTTTAAGATACTAGTAAGATGTATGGTACTTATTACTTATGCTAATGAAAATACGACTACCCATCTTAGTCTTATATTTGAAGTACTTTTAGGATATACTTAATTGTCGAAATACTATTGCGAAGAGGTCTGAGAAAAATGCTGTAACCATCGCGGGCTCAAAGAATAGAAGTGATGCGATTTCATTGGAGATGATGTTTACAAATTGCTCATTTCCAGGAAGTAAAATTTATGATGAGGTACTTTTTGCCCTAGCCCTAAGGCTCCAAATGCTAGCAGTTTTCTATTTGTACATTTGTAAGTATCGGAACGTTACCTTTTGTATTTATAATAATTGAAACAGGAAACATTCAATAAAGATTGGACATCCATATTTCAATAAATTTTCATTAATGAGTGTGGAAAATGAGGAAAAACTAATAATTTTAACGTTGTGTGATCTTTTTCTGTTTTTTATAATTACTTTGCATTACAGTTCAATCAGTATTCCTTTTACAGGTGGCGAATCTTCTCCGGTATGTAACAGGAGAGAAACAGCCAATCACAATTCTTCAAAAGACACGTGAAAATGTACGTTTACGTTTAGGAGAATTAAATGAAACAATATAATGTTTGGATAAACTGGTTTTATAAGCTTGTAACTGAATGGTACTCCTGGAATTTTATCATTTTAATTAAATAACATTTATCATTTTGATGATATCGATGATATCGAAGGACTGTCGAAATAAAATTCCATCATTTCAGATTGATGTTTTACTTCGTCCATATTTTTATGAGGAATCAGTCAATGAAATAGTAACAGAATTAATGAACTATGTTATATTCAGAATTAAACTTTTTGAAAGTTGAAAGAGCAATCTAAATCAACTATAGCTAAATATTGCAGCTATGTTTGATTTTGATTGTTGAAATAGTTGAACAGTGATCAAGAAATGAACTTTGGGTTTTATTAATATAGAAATTTTTACTCGATAATGTGAATATTTTATAGAAGATAGTGTGAAGTATTGATTGGCATCAAGCAGATGTGATGCGTTTGCATTGACTTAGTCATTCTCGTATTGTTTAGTTCTATCTCTTGTGAACTCACGTGTTAGTGACTTTTCTATAGAATAAACCTCAATACTAATGATTTATTTATTTGAAAATAGTCATGCAACTAACGGAATTTAGGATGAGTAGGCATATAAAATTATTGCAAAATATTACATTCGCATCTTATTAACATTGTAATCGTTAAATTAATATCTCAAAAACTGTTCCCAACTTTTCAAAAATCCTCAATTTTCAATTCAAAAGAATTGTTTTCATTTTAATTTCGGATTATTCGTCAGATCGTTAATCACAAAAATTCATATTTAAAAGCGGATTAAATTTTTTTTGAGAAGTTTGTAAAAGTTTTTAAAATAATCGAGTTAAATAAATTTCTCCTACTATTTTGTCCACTTATTGCTTGAAAACTGCTAGATAGATGCAGATTTCCAGAATATTACTATTAGCATCAAAAATTTATTACCTCATTGTTTTCCACTCTCTCAAGAATACTATAAATACCTGCACAAATAATTGCGAGAATTTCAAAGCTCATTAAATTCTTTGTTGCATTATTATGGGTATTGTTTCATTCTTCCCAAATGTCTGTATTTTATCAGTGTTTCGATTTAAACGCTTCCATAATTTTACCGGTGGTTGAATTTTGTGTACATTACCGGTGTATATTTTGTATATTAGATATATTAAGTGAATCACCTTAGTTTAATTTATGTGTGAAACGTTTAACTTATTTGTGGTGGAAATTTTTGTTGTAGCGGTGATGCGTGT